GGGCCGCCCTCGGCCGCTGAAGAGCGTGCGGCCGCGGGGCCGCGGTGACCGACGCGCCTGTCCCCCAGGCCCCGAGTCCCCATACACGCACTGGAAGCAGACCGTGTTCTACATGGAGGACTACCTGACGGTGAAGACGGGCGAGGAGATCTTCGGCACCATCGGCATGCGGCCCAACGCCAAGAACAACGTGAGGCGCCTGGGGACCCGCTGCAGCCCGGGGTGCGGCTGGGGCCGGCTGCCCGCCTTGCCAGCCCGGTGGGGGCGGTAGGGAGAGGGCAGGCTGGGACTCGCATGGGGACAGATGTGGCACAGCGTGGCCAGTCTGGCAGTGGAGGTTCTGCCTCTGGTGGGGTCCACCGGGGGCCTTGGCAGGCGGTGGACACAAGGGCAGCAACCGGTGTGGACCCATGACCGTGGGTGGACGGCAGCCTGCAGCCACCTGCTTTCCAGTCAGGACCGCGCTCAAGGCGGGCTTGTCAGTGTGTCCCCCAGGACACTTGTCACTGCTCGGAAGCAACCGCGGTGTCCCTGCTGGAGTCGTGCTCCTGGCACGTAGTGGGCAGAGGCCAAGGGTGCTGGTGACCAGCCTGTGGTGCCCCACAGCCCCGCAGCCCTCGGGAGAGCCCTGAGTAAAGTGACGCGTGTGGCAGAGGGCCGGGAGTCACCAGCCCTGCGGGCTCTGCCCAGCCTGCCGCGCTGCTGTGCTCTGGTTGGGGCGGGGCTGGGAGCTCCTCGGGAGCTGGCCTTGCCGCTGGGGCGACGGGCAGGGCGCTGAGCGCAGGTCCTGGGAGGAAGGCGCCTGGCACTGCCGCTCTGGCCCCTCACCCCGCCTGTCCCCTTGCCCACAGCGCGACCTGGACTTCACCATCGACCTGGACTTCAAGGGCCAGCTGTGCGAGCTGTCCTGCTCCACCGACTACCGGATGCGCTGAGGCGGCACCAGGGCCTGTGGCTTCTTAGGCAGTTTGGGGTCCCCCTTCCTCTCCCTCCCTCCCACAGAAGGGGGGGCTGGGGCTGGGGCTGGGGGGATGGGGAGGGCACATCGTGACTGTGTTTTTCATAACTTATGTTTTTATATGGTTGCATTTACGCCAATAAATCCTCAGCTGGGACCTGGCTCGGCTTCCTGGGCGTGCAGTGGTTTGGGCTTCTCTTCGGGTGCTGGGTGCCACCCACATAGCTGAGAGGAAGGGACTGAAGGCCGCCTGCTCTGTGACCCTCCTGTCTCTGGCTCCTCTCCTTTGGTCTTTTCTTGCGGTCTCTTCCTCCCCAAAAATACATATATATATATATATATATATATATTTTTTGGCATACTGGGGATGATCCTTGAACCCAGGACCTTTATTTTGAGACAAGGTCTTGCCAAGTCACTGAAGTTGCCCAAACTTGGGCTCAAACTTGTGATCCTCCTGCCTCAGCCTCCGAGAGTGCTGGGATTACAGGCTGGCTCCACCATTCCTGGCTCCTCATGGATTCTGTGCTCTCGTGCTGGCACCTGGCAGGGCTCCATAGCAGCTGCTGGGGCTGGGGGATGGATTCCCAGCACCACACCGCTGATCCTTTAGGCTTTCCAGAAGCCTCCCCCGCCCCCGACATCATGTTGTTCCCCTCTGGCTGGTTTTTCCTGTCTGGGACCCTCCAAGGCTGTGCCTGGCTGACTGTAGTAAGGCCTGGGCTGATGCAGCTGGGGAAGCGAATCAGGCCGGTGGAGCGCTCCCTGCGGTGGGGTGCGGTGGGGGTGCCCTCCATCCAGCCTGAGGTGGGCTTGGCCGCTGCTTTAGGGCAGTGGAGCCACACTCGCAGGGCTGACCGTGGAGGCCCCGCGAACCTGCCCTGCGGCCCCGGTTCCACCTCTGCTGTCTGCATCTGAGTCCCTGGCCACACACAGGAGCCGGGTGGCAGGGCGTGCCGCCTGTCGCCCGGTCCCCAGCACCCCATGCCCTGGCACAGTGTGCCTAGTCACCGTGCGCCTGTCTGAGTTTCTAGCCAGCGACTCCTGGGTTCCCCACCCGCGCCCTTAAGGTTTCCTGGAATCCCTGGCCTGGGCACCTGCGGGGGTCGGCCCGCCCCACTTCCGCACCCTGGCCACAGGCGTAAAGACGGAGTGACCCAACCTCAGTGAGAGTCGGGGCGGAGGCGGGGATCGGGTTCGAATCCTGTCCCTCTGGCACAGTGTGGCCAGGTCCACTCTAGACCTTTGGCTCAGCTTATCCCTGCCTGGGAAGTGGGAGCTCGGGACTGCCTGGGAAGGGCAGGGCCGCTTCGCCCACGGTACCCGACCCCGACCCGTCGCGACGGCCGCCGACGTCCCGCTGCAGCTTCCCGCCTCCTGCCGCACGGCCTGGCCTGGGTGTGCGCTGCCTGCCAAGGAGCCCTGGAAGGCGGCCCGGGACCCCCGGACCTGCGTAGCTACGGGCGCAGCCCCGCCCCTCCCTTGCTCGGGGCCGGCTCCCCACCTTGTGCCTGCTGTGCTGGGCGCGACCCCGCTCTAAGGTCGGGGCGGAATAAAACGAGCCCCACGTGTGTCTGCCTGTCCGCGCCGATTTATCCGGCCGCCTGGCCGCCCCCTCACAGCCCGGGCCCCGCGGTCCGACTGGACGCAGACCCCACAGCGCCCCTCCGGGCCAGCCCAGCTCAGCCCTTGCGCCTCCCGGGGGTCTGGGGCGGCGCGGTCCGGGCTCTCCTCCCTCGGGGCACAAGGCCGAGACGCGCCCCGCATGACGACCTCACGCTGTCCCGTGCTGGGCTGAACCTCTGGCCAAGCCTCCCGAAAAGGAAGTATGAGCCCCAGAGCAGAGCGCGGGGCGTGAGGATGCGGGGTTGGGGGACCCGAGTGGGGGTGCATCAACCGGGGGAGGAGACGGGGCGGGCTGCAGCGCAGGGAGGGGATTGGACACCGAGAAGGGCGGGGACAAAGGCCGCGAGGGGGAGGGGCGGCGATGCAGCCGAGGAGCTGAATACCCGGTTAGGCTCACGCCACAGAAATCGGGGCTTCTGGATGCCGGATGGTCTTGGGGTGGCCAGAACTCGGGGGGCCAGTCGGCCAAGTGGTGGACTCGTCCTTCTTAGACATATGCAAGCGAAAGACTTGGGTCCTGAGCTCAAAATCAGGCAAGGGGGGTGTACGAGGCCTTTGGTTCCAGGATCCGATCTGCAGACGCCTGACCTAGAGTAAGTACGGGCCGCGGGCCAGGCTGATGCGGGTGAGGGGCTCCGTCGGGCTGGCCCGGCAGCTTCTCCATCACTTGGCCTCCTCCCGCGGCTCCCGGCCTCAGCATCCCAGCTGTGGGGCATGCGCAGTAGGGCGCTCCCGCCCGCACCCCCCCCCCAGCTGGGCGGGGGAGGGGCCGCCCAGGATGTAATAATTTATAGAACCCCCCCTCACCCCCATCCTGGGATGGGAAGCGGAAATGGGGTGGACAAAGTCCACGTCCGGCAGGTGTTCCTTTCATAAGGGTCTCTGATGTCTTTATGGGAGACAGAACAACTCACAGCCCACCCCTCAGGCACCCCGCAGCTTGAGACATTCCTGGGGGTGAGGGCACACCCTGGGCACTGGGTTCTCCCCATGGCAGCTAACGGGGTTCCTGCGAGTGATCCGTCAGAGGTTCCCAGTTGAGACCCCTTCCCCAATACTTCGGGGTCTCTGACCAGGACCCTCAAGACGCTGCAGGGGCTTAGGTGGGCGGGGAGTGGGTGCTGTATTCCCGGGTTGGTGGAGAGTGGCTGGAGCCTGGACCCCTCGTCCTCGGGAAGAGGAGGTTTGGGGTGGGAACCGGGGGGTCTGAGGGAGTGACCCGTTCCCCCAGGGTCCCCGTATGACATGGCAGAAGCGCGCCAGGCCGTGGGCTTTGTGCCTTTGCTGACCTCCGACGGGGCCGCCGTGGCGCTCAGGGGCCCGGTGCTGCAGGACATCTACCTCTCAGGGCTTCGGTCCTGGAAAAGGCATCTCTCGCGCTTGTGGGTGAGGACCGCTGCTCGGTTTCCTTCCGGAAATGCAGCCCCCTGCTTTCCAGACGCCTCCGGCCAGTTCATGACCGACTGTCACCCTCTCTGGGAATCTGGCTGTCCCCTTCCAGGACCCCTTCTGCATTTCTCTGTGGCTCATTGTGGGGTTCTCACCTGTGAGCACCTCCTTCATCTCTTACACTCATTCTGGACCCGAGCTACCCCAGCCCTGCGCGTTACTCCTTCCCAATTTCTTTTCCTTTTTTTCTCTTTTGAGACAAGGTCATGGTATGCAGTTCAGGGTGGCCTTGAACTCACTATGTAGCCCAGGTTGGCCTCAAACTCACAATGATCCTCCTGCCTCAGCCTCCCTAGTACCGCGGTTATAGGCGTGCACCATCACTTCCGGCTGCCTCCCCAGTTTCTAGAACTCAGTCCTCTACCCTGTTTTTCTTGGGCAGAACCCAAGCCTCACACATGCCGGGCTAATGCCCCACTGCTGAGTCGTCTGTCCCCAGCCCCTTCTTGTGGCACTGGCCTCGCCTCTCCCTGTCCACCCCTGCTTCTAAACAAGGTGCCCCTTGCCCCAGATCCTCTGGGCCTCCATCAGGATTGTGGCTGACCCAGCCACGGTGGCCAGACCTGTCATCCCAATATTCTGGGAGGCTGGGGCAGGAGGACTGTAAGTTAGAGCCTAGCCTGGGCAACTTAGTGAGGCCCTGCCTCAAAACAGAGACTAGAAAACAGCTGGGGATATAGCTCGGCGTGAAAGTCCTGGGTTCTGTCCCCAGTAACTGGAAAAAAAAATACCTGTCAGGAGCGCCCCCTCTTCCTGGGCTGACTGCTGGGGCAGGACCGGCTCTGTCTGCCCTGCTCGTTCCGCAGCAGCCAGCCCAGGGCCCAGCCCACATCAGTGTGTCAGTACTACCTGGGAAAAGCGTCGCGCTCAGTGGGGGGACCTGTGACTGAACAGACGCCCTCTCCTGCCCACAGAACGACCTTCTCAGCGGCGTGCTCCCCGCCAGCCCCCTCAGCTGGCTCTTCCTCTTCAGTGCCATCCAGCTTGCCTGCTTCCTCCAGCTGGACCCTTCCCTGGGACTGATGGAGAAGATTAAAGAGCTACTGCCAGACTGGTGAGGTCCCCCACATCTGTCCAGTACCTCCCTAATCCTTCTCCTACCAGTTTAGTTTCTCTATCAGTGTGCTGTGTCTGCCAAAGAAAAGTAACCTCTGAAACTTACTTTGGGTCAGATTAATAAAGGTATGGCATCAGGAAAGAGGAGGTGACTTCCTTTCTTCTGTCTGTTTTCTGTCCTGGCAGCTTCTTGTTAAGATGGACAGTAACAAGCTAGAAGTATGAGCTCTACCAGTCTCCAGTTATGTAATCATTATTATGGTTGCTGATATCATTAGGAAAGGTGTGAAAATCGATCTCTGCTGTACCCAATTAGTGCAGGTTGCCTTTGAATTCACTGTGTAGCCCAGGTTGGCCTCAAACTCAGGGAGATCCCCCTGCCTCAGCCTCCTGAGTGCTGGGATTACAGGCGTGGGATACCACACTCAGGTCCATCCTCCTTTTCTCTTGCCAGTGGGGGTCAGCACCACAGGCTCCGGGGCCTCCTTGCGGCTGCGCTGTTTGCCTTGTGTTTGTGGGGTGCCCTGATCTTCACGCTTCACGTGGCCTTGAGGCTGCTTCTCTCCTACCACGGCTGGCTGCTCGAGCCCCACGGAGCCATGTCCTCGGCCACCAAGACCTGGCTGGTACGTGAGGTCCGCGGGCTGAGCGACCAGGCACCTCTCTGTCCCTCTGCGTCTCTGTCGCCCTCTCTCCAGGTCTCTGTCCCCACCTCTCTGGGTTTCCGTCTCCTCTATGGGTCCCCTCTCAGGTCGCCGTCCCCTTCCCTCTGTGGTCAGCCCTCACCCACCCCGTTGCTTTACATTTGTCCCGGTGAGAGTCTCGGTGACCGTGACCGGTGGTCCCCGCAGGCCCTGGTTCGCATCTTCTCCGGCCGCCGCCCGATGCTCTTCAGCTACCAGCGCGCCCTGCCTCGCCAGCCCGTGCCCTCGGTGCAGGACACAGTGCGCAAGGTGGGCCGGGCCCGGGAGGAGCGGGGGGTCGGCGGGCGTGCGGGCGCGGGGTGACGCCCCCTTCCGCCCTCCCCGCATGCAGTACCTGGAGTCCGTCCGACCCGTCCTCTCGGACGAGGACTTCGACTGGACCGCGGGGCTGGCGCAGGAGTTCCTGAAGCTGCAGGCGTCGCTGCTGCAGTGGTACCTGCAGCTCAAGTCCTGGTGGGCGGCCAACTACGTGAGTCCCGCCCCCACGCCACGCCCACAGCCCCAGGCATGGCCACCATTGGAACCCCAACATGCCAATAAACGAGTTCCGCCCCCTGCCTGAGGAACTGGCCCCGCCCCTGGGCTCATCGCTCCGCCCCAGATGCCCCAGTACTGCGCTCCGCCCCCAGCTCGCCAAGGTTACAACCAGGGTTTCACGTGCTGTGCAACGTTTCCTGCTCAAGGACGGCTTCCCCACGGGGGCTTCCCTTCGGAGTTCAGGAGCTAGGCCCTTGACCCCACTCAGGGGAACTCACCTCGGAAACTGAGGCACAGAGGGCGTCCGTGAGTCACCCAAATCCGGACTGGCCAGCCTCACGCGCTGCACGCGTAGGGCCAGAGCAAGCTTTGTGTACACAGAGACGCGCGGAGCCACCACCTCCGAGGGCAGAGCTTTTCCAGCACTTGCTGGAAGCGTCTAGATTGTTCTAAAAGACACAGTACATTCTGAGACTGAAGTGTCGGCTGCCATAGACATGGAGGTGTAAACATACGTATGTTCTCAAAGATTCTAGGAGGGCTCATGACATAGAAATAAGAGAACATCTAGAAACATCCAAGTCCCCTCCCAGCACTTCACTGTAATCCTTTCTCTTTCCATCATCCATAAGGAAACTGGTCAGTCTCTATATGAATATCTATGATCAGCCGGGCGTGGTGGTGCACGCCTGTAATCCCAGCTCAGTGGTAGAGGGCATGCTTAGCAAATTTAGGCCCTGGGTTTAAGGCCCAGCACCACAAAACAATTCTTTTTTCCTTTATATGGTTAAATAACACTGTTCCATGGACAGACCACATTTTGGCTGTCTGTTGCATTATAGTAGTATTTAAAAATTCAGGCTGGGCGTGGTGGCGCACATCTGTAATCCCAGTGCTTGGGAGGCTGAGGCAGGAGGATTGTTACAAGTTCAAGACCAGCCTGGGCTACAAAGTGAACTCAAGGCCAGTCTGAACTGCATAGCGAGATCCTATGTCAAAAAGACAAAAAAAAAAAAAAAAAAAAAGAATTCAACATCAGAGGTGGGAATGGTGGAGCACACCTGTAATCCCAGCACTCTGGGAGGCTGAGACAGAAAGACTGCAAGTTTGTGCCCAGCCTGGAGAACTTAGCAATTGATGAGACTGCCGCCAGCTGGAGGGCCTTGGAGGACTCATTTGCACATTCTTGGTGTCCTGAGGACTGGGCAGAACGTGCAGAAGGGGTGCCAGAAAAATTTATTGAAGATGAAAGTACCCTCCACAGAGTGGGTGTGGCCCAGTGAGAGGAACTCACAGCCGGGGAGGGGCAGGTATTGGGTCTCTGACTCAGACCACTCACCAGGAGAAGGAGATTTTGACCATATGAGGTTTTTAGAGCAAATTTCATGGCATCCAGGTCCCACAGGAGGGGGTCAGAGATGCAGTGGATGAGGTTGGACAAAGGCCAAATCCAGGTACTTTGTTTGTTTTTTGAGACAGGGTCTCCCAGGGCTGGGGATTTAGCTCAGCGGCACAGCACTTGCCTGGCATGCGCAAGGTCGTGAGTTTGATTCCTGGTACCGGGAAACAAAACAAAACAAAACAAAAAACCCCAAAAAGAGATAGGGTCTCCCTATGTATTCCAGTCTGGCCTTGAACTCACTGTAGCCCAGGCTGGTCTTGAACTCTTGGCGATCCTCCTGCCTCAGCCTCCCAGATGCTGGGATTAGAGCATGCAACACCATGCCAGACCCAGGGCCATATACTTTTGGTTTTGTGCATGCCTGGGGGCACAGAGTGACCAGCTGAGGCTGAGTATGGACGAAGCCCCCACCTGCATGAGGATCACAGGATCCTCCCCTAACTAATCTGGAGGGGGCATGAAGACTTGGGGGTTGGTTGGGAGCTGTTGATTTCCCCAGGAGACTTGGAGGTCTGTAGTGAAACAGTGCTTGAAATCTGGAAGAAAAGATCAGGAGAACTTTGTTAATAAACAAGATCCACAAGTGCAAGCAGGCTGGGTGTGGAGGTGCACGTCTGTAATCCCAGCACTCAGGAGGCTGAGGCAGGAGGATCACTGTGAGTTCGAGACCAGCCTGGGCTACAAAGTGAGCTCAAGACCAGCCTAGACTACACAGCTAGACTGTCTCAAAAAGAAAAAAACAAAAAACACAAGTGAAAGCAAGAATAATTAACATAAGAACTGGTATAGCCAGGTGTGATGGCCCACACTTATAATCCAGCACTTGGGAGGCTGAGGCAGAAGGATCTCAGTGTATTCAAGGCCAGCCTGGGTTACATAGCAAGACACTGCTTCAAAAAACAAAACAATATTCTTGAAGATACCAATAGGTAAAATAACAACCATTGATAATGTCCTACCACTTTGTCTGTAATTCGGTGAATCCCCCTATTGCTATGTTGTCCTTCTTTTACTCTTTAAAATAATAATAATAATAATAATAATAGGTAGATAGATAGATAGATGATAGATAGGTAGAACTGGCATAGACAGCCCTATTAATAACTACATCCAACACTTGACTTTTTTTAGTTTTTTTGTCTTGTTGAGACAAGGTCTCACTGTGCAGTTCAGGCTGGCCTTGAGCTCACTTTGTAGCCCAGGCTGGTCTCGAACTCACAACAATCCTCCTGCCTCAGCCTCCTGAATGCCAGGATTACAGATGTAGGCACCACCACACCTGGCTCTTGAGTATTTTTAAAAAGGACCCTAACCATAACTCTTCATAAAGCCCCTTTTTTAGGCTCTGTACACTTCTATTAATTCTTTGACTTTTATGAGGTTGGTTTCTACCTTTCTGAATTATTCGTCTAGAAGCAGCAGTTTTCACTTGGTGCCCTGCAGCCTCTCCCCGCGCGTCCAGTGTGGACGGTTAACCCCTGCAATTTCTGTGGCTGTTGCCGCTTTTCGGGGTTTGAGACAGGTTCTTGCTATGTAGTTTAGGCTGGCCTCAACTCTTGGTGGTGCTCCTGCCTCAGCCTCCAAGTGCTAGGCTCTTCTCACCTCTGGAGAGTTTAGGCTTTTTGCTGAGCCCTCAGAGGCTCTACTGTGGCTTTCTGTGCTTTCTGTTGTCCCAAAGATTGATTTCTGATTGACATGGAGCTCCCATGACCCGGAAGGTTCTGGTTAATATTCCCCATCCCAGCCTGGCTTCTTTTGAGCCACACAGAGGGCTCCAGCAGGGCTATGAAATGCACGAGCACCCGCGGGTCCGAGGAGCGCCTGCAGTTGCTTCCTGTCTGCTGCCCGAGGCTGTGGCAGACCTTGCAGACCCTGGCGGTGAGCTGTATGTCCTACTCGACCGGGAGACTCAGCATGTCACCTTGGTCCCAGGCTCTACACCTTGCAGGACTGCTGTTCTGTCCCCTCTCTTCAAAGTGCCCTGTGCATCCTCCAGATGTTTTCCTAAATCCACAGGACACCCAGAAGTTGGCGTTGTGTCACTCGTGCATTGAATAAAGTAGCCCCCAGTGGGCAGGCAGCGCCGGGCTGGGTGGGCTGTCCCGGGCAGCACCAACAGCTGCTATTCCAGAAGCCAATGTGGCCAGCCTGAATTACCTAGTGAGACCCTGCCTCAAAAAACAAAATGAGGGGCTGGGGATTTAGCTCAGCGGCACAAGCGCCTGCCTGGCAAGCGCAAGGTCAGGAGTTCAATTCCCGGTACCAGAAAAAAACAAAAAACAAACAAACAAAAAAAACAAACAGGAGATAGCTCAGTGGCAAAATGCCTGCCTGGCAATCACAAGGTCCTGAGTTTAATTCCTGGTAAAAAAAAAAAAAAAAAAAAAAAAAAAAAAAAAAAAAAAAGAAACAAAACAAAACTCTGTCTCAAAATATAAAAGGTTGGGGCTGGGGATTTAGCTCAGCAGCACAGCGCCTGCCTGGCAAGTGCAAGGTCGTGAGTTCGATTCCCGGTACCAGAAAAAAAAAAATCAAAATATAAAAGGTAGAGAGGGGTGCTGGGGATGTAGCTCAGTGGTCTGATCTCCAGTCACACATACACACACACACACACTCCACATATTTTCTTGGGCTCTTCGTCCTTTTCACTGAAAAATATGTCTCCATACTCACTGTGTGTCAGCAAACATGGATGGTCCTTTTATCAGCTGTGTAATATTCCCTGACCTGAGTGTAACATGGTTTAATTAACTGATCCCTGATCCATGGACTTCTAGGTTTTGCTAGTTACTGATCACAGCAGCCTCCTTCCTTGAGATCCACCTTCTGCTTGCCAGGCAGGCACTTTACCACTGAGGTATCTCCCCGGCCCTGTGACACAGGAGAGTTGGTGCCCCCCATCCCACTCTCCCTCCCCATCAAGACGGCATCGTGTGTGTCTCCCACCCCACTCTCAGGTCAGCGACTGGTGGGAAGACTTCGTGTATCTGCGCTCACGCAGCTCGCTGATGGTGAACAGCAACTATTACCTGATGGTGAGGGTAGAAGGGGCTGGGAGGGCCGGGGCTGCCACACCCCAAGGCCAGGGGCAGGCGCTCGGGAGATGGGGCACTCCCGCCCAGGTCCTGAATCCCAGAGCACACTTGAGTCACCATGTCTGCCCTCTTTTGGGGCCAGGACCCCCATCAGGGGGCTCAGGCATGTCGCTGTCCCCTCTGCTGGCCCCAGGACTTCCTGTACGTCACACCCACGCCGCTGCAGGCAGCCCGCGCTGGGAACGCCGTCCACGCCCTGCTCCTGTACCGCAACCGGCTGAAACGCCAGGAGATCTCCCCGGTAAGATGCCTCCAGGGCCGGGGTCAGAGGCGTGGCCCTGTGTGTGGGGACTCATGTGGGTTCCAGAAGGCAGCTCACGGGCCCACGGCCTCCTGCAGACTCTGCTGATGGGAATGCGCCCCTTGTGCTCTGCCCAGTACGAGAGAATATTCAACACCACGCGGGTCCCAGGGGTGCAGAAAGGTGAGACCCCCCTTCCTCTTCCCCAGAGGCAGGTGCTCTGGAGCAGGTCTGCTGGGGCCCAAGCTGTTCTGGTGTGGTCTTGGCCAAATTATTACCCTCTCAAGCCTCAGTGTCCTAATCTTTAAAAAGGGATAATAGGGAGGCTGAGGCAGGAGGATCACTGTGAGTTCAAGGCCAGTGTCTACACAGTCAGCTCAGGTCAACCTGAACTACATAGCAAGACCCTGTCTCCAAAAAAAAAAGGGGGGGATGCTGGGGATATAGCTCCGCGGCACAAGTGCCTGCCTAGCAAGCACAAGGTCCTGAGTTTGATTCCCAATACCAAAAAAAAAAAAGTTTAAAAAAATGGGATAATAAGCCAGGCATGGCACACGCCAGTTATCCCAGCACTCAGGAGGCTGAGGCAGGATGATTGCTTGGAGTTCGAGGGTACATAGTGTGTTCAAGGCCAGCCTGGACTATATGGCAAGACACTTTCTCAAAAAACAAAACCAGAGCCAAGTGTAGTGGTGCACACCTGTAATCCCAGCACTGAGGAGGCTGAGGCAGGAGGATCTCCATGATTTTGAAGCCAGCTTGGACTGTATAGAGTGTTCAGGGCCATCCTGAACTACAAAAGTGAGACCCTGTCTCAAAAAACCAAACCAAACAAACAAACAAAAAAAAACCAAACCAAAGGTTAACGGGATAATAATGGTACCCAGAGGTGACAGTCAAGGGTGGTGAGCACAGTTCTGGGCACAGAACAGGGGCTTCGCCTTACAACGTGTCGCCCTCCTGCTTCTGCCAACCTGGCCCCTAGACCGCCTCTGCCACCTCCGCGACAGTCGGCACGTGGCTGTCCTCCACCGGGGCCGGTTCTTCCGTGTGGGGACCCACTCCGCACACGGCCTGCTGTCCCCGAGAGCCCTGGAGCAGCAGTTTCAGCGCATCCTGGACGACCCCTCGCCCGCCTGTCCCCAGGAGGAGCACCTGGCGGCCCTGACAGCCGCTCCCAGGTGAGGGCGGGAGGCGGTGCCCTGGTGGCGGACAGGCGCGCGGAGAGGCCTGGAGCTCCGGGCTGGCTCAGGTGCCGCTCCTGCAGGGACTCGTGGGCCCAGGTGCGCCAGACGCTCAAGACCCGCGCTGCCCACGCCCTGGAGGCCGTGGAGGGGGCCGCCTTCTTCGTGTCGCTGGACCCCGAGCCCGCGGGGCTCACCCGGGAGGACCCCGCAGCCTCACTGGACGCCTATGCCCATGCCCTTCTGGCCGGCCGCGGCCACGACCGGTGAGTCCCACCTGGACCCGCACCCCGAACCAGGTCCAGGCCTGGGGCACCCGTGTGCAATGGGCAAGACCCCAGACCCTGCTGTCCCTAGATTCCAGAGTCACAGCCTAGACCCCTAACCCAGACTCAGCACCCTAGATTCGGGGACCCCAGACCTGTGGGCACCAGATCCCAAACTTGGACCCCTAGATAAAGAACCCCAAACCTGGAGACCTCAGACTCAGAACCGGGACCACTCACTCCTCAGGTCTTCCTTGCAGGCACCCCAAACCCAGGATCCCAGACCTGGGGCCCCCACACTTGGAGATCCTTAGAGGCTTTTTTTTCCCCCCAAGACAGGGTCTCGCTGTGTAGTGCAGGCTGGCCTGGAACTCACTTTGTAGCCCAGGCTAGCCATGAACTTGCAGTGATCCTCCTGCCTCAGCCTCCCAAAGAGTGCTGGGATTACAGACATGGGCCACCACGCCTGGGCACGGGCAATTTCTCCATGTCCATCCGGCACTACCCAGACTTCCTAGGATCAGGAGAGGCCCCACACTTTCAGGCACCCAAAAGGCCTTAAACCACCAGGAGATCCCCAAATCTTAGCTACACCTGAGAGACCCTCCAGAGCCAGCACTAGGGACCCCAGGCTTCTGGTGGTGCCCATGCCAGGCCCCCAGGACTCCAGCCAATTCCCCACCTTGCTGAGCCCCGCAAGTCCCACAGCTTGCACCAAGTTCTCCCTGCCCCCACTCTTTGGTGACCCCCTGAACTGTCCTCCACAGCTGGTTTGACAAATCCTTCACCCTGATTGTCTTCTCCAACGGGAAGCTGGGCCTCAGCGTGGAGCACTCGTGGGCCGACTGCCCCATCTCAGGACACATGTGGGAGGTAGGGTGCCTCCCCCAGCCGCGGACCCCGCACACCCTCTCGGCCAACGGGCTCAGCAAGCACTCGGGGCGGGGATGATGAAGGGGCACCTGGGTCTCAGAGGAGGAAGGCAGCTGTCCCAGAGTCACACAGCGAGGGGTTGCAGAGTGAGAACTGGAATCCAGGTTGCTCATCGAGGGCTTCCCACCTCCCCCGCCCCCCACGGAGACAGAAGAGCCATCCTCCAGCTCCATTTGCTGTGTGACTTGGCAGAGTTACTACCCTCCTCTGAGTTTGTTTCCCCCTCCCACAGATGAAAGAGTTGGGATTTTCTTTTTCTTTTTGTACAGTGTGGGGCATGGAACCCAGGGCCTCATGCGTGCTGGGCAAATGCTCTACTGCGGAGCTCACCCCCAAGCCTGGAGCTTTTTTAAGCTCCTCTCTAGGATCTACTTCTCTAGCTCCTCAACAGCAGGAAGCAGGCCAGTGCCTGGGGGTGCACACCTGGAATCCCAGCACTCAGGAGGCTGAGGCAGGAGGATTGCCCCAAGTTTGAGGTCAGCCTGGGCTACCTAGTAAGTTCAAGGCCAACCTGACTACATGAGACTCCGTGTCAAAAAAACAAAACAAAAAATCAGAAAACAAAACTGTAGGAGGAAATAAAAACAAAACAGTAGGAGGAGGCTGCCTGCACCCCACTGGGCCCCACCCTTCATGCTGGGGGGGTCGGGTTCCATGACCCAGAGTAGGTCCAGGCACAGATAAGGGAAGAAAGGTCCTTTCCAGACCTTGAGAACAGCCTACGGTGGGCGCCGGCCTTTCTGGTCCTGTTTCTCATGTCTAAAATGAGATTTTCCCTTTGATTTTTTTTTTTTTTAATTTTGAGACAGGGTCTCACTATGCAGTTCAGGCTGGCCTTGAGCTCACCTTGTAGCCCAGGCTGGTCTCGAACTCATAACGATCCTCCTGCCTCAGCCTCCTAAGTGCTGGGATTACAGGTGTGCACCCATGCCTGGCTGATTTTTTTTTTTTTTTTTTTTAAACCAGGGTCTCGCTATGTAGTTCAGGTTGGTGTTGAACCCACTCTGTAGCCCAGGGTGACCTCAAACACATAGCAATCCTTCTGCCTCAGCTTCCCGAGTGCTGGGATCACAGGGGTGCGCCACCACGCCCAGCTGGCTGATTATATTTTTAAGTGACATTCAATTCGGGCTGAACTCAGACCCTTCTGACCACTTCACACTAGCATATTAATTCTGCACGCTGACTCTGAAGGCAACGTGTAGCTGGGCACAGTGGTATGTGCCTGTTATTCCAGCACTCTAACAAGCTGAAGCAGGAAGACCACAAGCTTGACCCCAGCCTGGGCAATTTATCCAGACCTTTCCTCCAAATAGAAACAAAAAATTTTTGTTTTTTTTTCTTTGTTTTTTTTTTTTTTTTTTTTTTTTTTGGTACAGGGGATTGAACTCAGCACCTTGCGCTTGCGAGGCAGGCGCTCTGCCACTGAGCCATATCGCCGGCCCCCTGTTTTTATTTTCTTGAGACAGGATCTCACTATGTAATTTAGGCTGGCCTTGAACTCTTGGTAATCCTCTTGTCTGCCCCATGTTGGGATTACAGGTGTGTGCCACCACACCTGGTTCTAAAAATAGAAAATTTATAAAGGGCAAGGGAAAAAAATAAAAAAATAAAAAGGGCCAGGGATGAAGCGCAATGTGAAGGCCCTGGGTTCAATCACAAGTACTGAAAAAAAGAAAAAAAGAGTAAAAGTAACAGGCTGAGTGGCTGGGGATGTGGTGCAGTGGTAGGGTTTTTGCCTAGTGTACTCAGGACTCCAGGTTCGATCCCCAGCACAGCAACAACAAAAAGCAAATAAAAGACAGAAGAAGGCCGGTCGTGGTGATGCACACCTGTAATCCCAGCACTCAGGCGGCTGAGGCAGGAGGATCTTTTCAAGTTCGAGACCAGCCTGGGCTACAAGTGAGTGCAAGGCCAGCCTGAACTGCATAGCGAGACCCTGTCTCAAAAAGACAAAAAAGCACTGGGCATGGTAGCACATGCCTGTAATCCCAGCACTCAGGAGGCTGAGGCAGGAGGATCATTGTGAGTTCGAGACCAGCCTGCATTGCATAGTGAGACCCTGTCTCAAAAAGACAAAAAAAAAAAAAAAAAAAGACAGAAGCCCAGGGCCAGTAACCAGCTGGGCTGTGGACATTAACTCTGCTCTCAGTGAACATGAACTTGAGGACCTGTCTGTGAGCCCCTTGGGTTTCTGATTCTGAGGCACTCTCAGGAACCCTGAACAAGAAAAACAAAAAAGGTGTCCTGAGCCGAGGCCCCTGGTGACAGCCCTCGGCCCAGGGCACAAAGAGCTCCGCCCACTTCCGCTTCCTGCAGTTCACCCTGGCCACAGAGTGCTTCCAGCTGGGCTACACGGCCGACGGCCACTGTAAGGGCCACCCTGAGCCGGCGCTGCCCCAGCCCCAGCGGCTGCAGTGGGACCTTCCAGACCAGGTGAGACGGGGTCTGGGCCTTCCCTCTGAGCTCATCCTGTCCCCAGTTCAAGCTCAGAGTCAACCCCAGCCCAACCCCACCACCAAAGCAAACCAAAACACTGAGAGCCTGTAGCCCCAGCCCCAGCTCTGGCCCTGTGCCCATGGCCGGCCCATCCCATCCTCCCCACGCCCAGCTCCACCCCCATCCCAAATCGCATCCCGTTCCCCAGACCCTGTCAGTCTCATCTCCCTCGGGCTCCTTCCCCACCTGGTTCCCGTGCCCAGCCCAGCCCCACCCCAATCCCATCTTCATGGCCACCTTGTCCCCGTCTTGGCCCTGGTCTGTCCTTTCCACCCCTTCTCCCCATATTCCACGCCACCCTAACTCCCCTCCCGCCATTTCCCCCAGCCCCATTCCCAGCTCGGATCCCACCCACCCCTGTAACCCAGCGGTCCCTCCCTCCTTGCCGGGCAGATCCATCGCTCCATCTCCCTCGCCCTGCGGGGAGCCAAGGCCTTGTCTGGCAGCGTGGACTGCCACGTCTTTCCCTTCTCCCACTTCGGCAAGAGCTTCATCAGACACTGCCGCCTGTCCTCAGACAGCTTCATCCAGACGGCCCTGCAGCTGGCCCACTTCCGGGTCAGTCGGGTTCCCTCCTCCCAGCCCCTCAGTCCCCCTGGGCCCCAGCACCTGCGCCCCCACGCCCTGGGTGCCTCGTCTTGGTCACCGTCCTGTGGGTCGCCGTCTTGCTTTCTCCATTGCTTCTGCGCAGGAGGCAGCTGGAGGCTGGACAGGGGGGCGTTGAGTCTGTGAGGACTTCCTGAGCCTAGCTGACAGGCTCCTCCTCTGCTTGTCCCCCAGGACAGGGGTCAATTCTGCCTGACTTACGAGTCGGCCATGACTCGCTTGTTCCTGGAGGGCCGCACGGAGACAGTGCGGTCTTGCACGAGGGAGGCCTGCAACTTTGTGAGAGCCATGGAGGACCCGGAGAAGACAGTGGGTGTGGCCTCCACCGAGGCTTGCGTCCCTTGGGTTCACCAATACATTTGCAAACACTGGCCAGCTCTGAGGGGCACCCGGGACAAGGGACAAACAAGACCAGGTCTCCAGCTTCCAGGAGCCCATGAGGGGGAGGCAGAGATCGCCCAGCTTAGCGTGCCCTGTGCTTTCCCGGGGTCGCACAGGACACTGGGGAGCACGCAGAGGGTCCCGTGATTCCCTAATGCAGCTCACGGGCTTTCTGCCACCTTCTGACCTCTGTTCGCCCCATTTGGCCGCGTTCCCACAACCTCTGCTCCGGGGCGCGGCCCCGTGCACCTGTCCCCCTCCCCTGCCCTGCCCTGTGGGGCCCTGTGCCCCGGTGGAAGGAGTCCGGGCCCCGCAGTCTCCGACAGCCCCGGGACCCGCCTGGTTCTGCCCTGGTGTGTGACCCGGGGGAAGTGCCTCTGCTGTCTGAGCCTGGCTCCCCTGGGTGAAGTGGGGGGCAGTCCCTGCCTTAGAGCCCGATGTGCCATGGGGTGGCCAGCAGTAAGCCCGAGTCCTGTCTTTCCATGACCTGTGACCCCGGGGGTCCAGCACTCGCAGTGCCTCGCCCTGTTCCGCGCCGCGGTGGACAAGCACCAGGCTCTGCTCAAGGCGGCCCTGAGCGGCCAGGGGGTCGACCGCCACCTCTTCGCGCTCTACATCGTGTCGCGATTCCTCCACATGCAGTCGCCCTTCCTGGCCCAGGTTGGGGTGCAGGGGACCGCGGGAGAAGGAGGGACTGGAAGGCAGTGAGGGTGAAGTCGGAAAAGGAGTGGGTCCGGGATGAAGCACGCCCAGGAGGGGGCGGGGATGAGGGGCGTGGTCAGACGCGGGGCGTGGCCTGGGTGGAGCAGCGTTATGGAGGGGCGTGGTCTGTAGTCTAGGGGCGGGACTAGGGGTGGGGCGGAGAGGCGGGGTAGCAGTATAGCGGACCCTGGCAGCCAGAGGTCAAAAACTCCAGGGATGCTTAGAGTGGAGCCAAGCGAAGCGCTCTCGGACCTGCGGGTCTGTCTTTCCTGTCCTCAGGTTTACTCGGAGCAGTGGCAACTGTCCACCAGCCAGATCCCTGTTCAGCAGATGCACCTGTTTGATGTCCACAATTACCCGGATTATGTTTCCTCGGGTGGCGGGTTCGGGCCTGTGAGTGGAGTGAGGTCCCGGCCCCGGGGCCCTGAGGGAAGAGGGGCTGGGAACCTGCGCTCCTGTACGGTGGCGGAGGAAGGGGGGCGCGATATTGCTTCCTTTACTCTCGCCCACGCCAGGCGGATGACCATGGCTACGGTGTGTCTTACATCTTCATGGGGGATAATGTGATCACCTTCCACATCTCCAGCAAAAAATCAAGCACAAAAACGGTGGGTGAGATAGACTCCATCCCAGCCTCCCCCAGACCCGGTTCCAGCCCCCAGCCCCTCTTTGCTCAACCCCACTTGCCCTGGGTCTGACGGTTCCTGCTTCCAGGACTCCCACCGGCTGGGGCAGCACATCGAGGATGCGCTGCTGGACGTGGCCTCCCTGTTCCAGGCCGGACAGCGTCCGCAGCGCCGGCTCAGGGGCTCAGGGGACGAAGACTCGGGGCACAGGTGCGGATTTCTCTCCAGTAAGACTGTGGATTCCAAGACACCCAAGACGCCCACCGACTCCGAGCCCGTCCAGTAGGGAGCTGGTCTCCCTCATGGCGGAGGGCGTAGTGCCCCAGCGAGGCTGACGCAGGGTGGAGTAGCCTGTTTGCAGCCCCACATCCGGGCCAATAAAGATGTTCGAGCTGGGTGTGTGACGTTCACTGTGCTCTGGGTTGGAGGAGTGGTGGGGTGAGAATTAGGGTGCTAAGTTGAAAAGTCCCATTGATTCCCAGTTCCAGTTCCATCCTCAGCCACAGTCTATAAATCCCAGCCTCAGCCGGGCATGGTGGCGTACGCCTGTAATCCCAGCGCTCGGGAGGCTGAGGCAGGAGGATCCTTGCAAGTTTGAGGCAAGCCTGAACTGCAGAGTGAGATCTTATCTCAAAAAGACAAAAACAAAACAAAAAAACTCAGCCCCAAACAACTCCACAATTCCTACTGGCCCAGCACCAACTGTCCACTCAGCCCCATCCATAAACCTAAAGTCTGGACCAATCCAACCATCCCAACTGGCGCCCCCAAATCAATCCACCAAGACTTTTTTTTATGGTTCTGTGGATGGAATGCACACCTCGTGTACAGTAGGCAGCCCCAGCCACCCAACCTGTCATTCTATAACGCCATTGCTTCCCCCAAGGTAAGCATAACCCCCCACCCCAAACCCAATATCTAAATCCTAAATAAGCCAGCCTCCACAACCAACCCACCAACTCCATGGTGGTTTCAAAACTTGTCTGTAACCTGGGCATGGTGGCACATGCCTGTAATCTGAGCACTTGGGAGGCTGAGGCAGGAGGATCGCAGTGAGTTTGAGGGCAGCCCCTTGTCTTAGAGACAAGGTGAGACCTTGTCTCCAGCAAAAGGGAAGATTGATTCCATCCTTACAGAGTGATTAAATCTCCAGTGGGCTGGCAGCTCTGTGGAGAAAGCATTGTGCTTGAGGAAGTAAGGTGTGCAAGGCACCTTCAGCCAACATGACAGCCTGGAAAATTCCCGGGCTCTGGGTCCTGCAGCTCTAGGTAAATGGCGTTCTGCTTGATTAGATCAGCGCCACCTAGGAAAGCTCCACAAACAGGGTTTAAAACATACAGTTGGCGCGGTGTGGTGGCTCATGAGTATAAACCCAGTACTTTTGTAATTCCAGCACTTGGAGGCTGAAGCAGGAGGATCCCCTCTCTTCTGTTTTGCTATGCCCTTCTCCATGCTTTTGTGGATTTAGGAGATCAGACTGGTTTCATATGGGTAATCCAGAGTCATCTTCCCATCTCAAGGTTGCAATCTTAATCATACCTGCTAAGTCCTCTTAACCACCATAGGACCTAGCACAGCCACAGGGATTAGGATGTGGGCATTTTTAGGGGTACTTATCAGTCAAATTGTATTTCCCAGAAACGATGTTGAAAATCTTAACCGCCAGTACATCAGAGAGCGACCTTATTTGGAACTAGGGTCATTGCAGATGTAGTCAGAATGTGTTCATACAGGACTAGGCTGGGCCTTTAATCCAAGGTGACCGCTGTTGTGTGTTTTTTTTAATCCCACTGAGCTACATCCCCCGCTTTTTCTTTTTTATTTTGAGACAGAATCTCGCTAAATTGCGCAGTTTGGGCTCAAACTTGCAATCCTCCTACCTCAGGCTCCCGAGTGGCTGCGGTTACAAGCGCAGGCCCCGGCACCTGACTGAGGGGAGGGGCACACTGGGAGGAGGCCCTGTGACTGCCAGGGCAGAGACTACCAGGACGTATTTGCCGGCCACTGAAGGCCAAGGCTGACAGCGGCCTGAGGAAGGCAGAGGGCAGGAATTCCCACCCCCACCCCGCCTCCCTGTGCTCCTGGAGATCCATGCCTGCCTCACCTCCCCACGACTGGCTCCCTGTGCCGGGATTAGGGAGGGAGGTAAATTGGGATCTGGGTGAAGGGTGGACAGGGCCTCTGCTCTACTTTGAAAAAATAGACCTTCATTGTTTTGGCTAGGGCAGCAGGCATGCTAGCAGGTGCTCTGCCACTGAGTCGCACCCCAGCCCTTTCTTTTGTGTGTTTGTTTTTTTAACAGTACTAGGGTTTGAACCTAGAGGTTTTGCCCTGAGCTACATCCCAAGCCCTTTTAATTTTTAAATTTTATTTATTTACTTACCCATTTAGGCAAGGTCTTCTTATGTAGTCCAGGTTGACCTTGAGCTCACTATGTAGCCCAGGCTGACCTGGAACACACAGCGATCCTCCTGCCTCAGCCTCCCAAGTCTGGGGTTCTAGGGCTGGGTCACCACAACTGGCCTTTTTTTCCCCCTTTTACGTGTGTGTGTGGGTGCGTGCGCACGCACGCGTGTGCGTGTGATTCTGCATCTTTAATTCTTCCCTTTTAGCACGAGGGTCATCTGACAAACGGCTTCAGCCAAGAGCTGGCAGACAGGACTGGGTTGGGCAAGGACCCTCAAGGACCTGGCTTCCTCTCCTCCTCCTCCCATGGGGTTGGGAGTAGGATGGTGATCCAAGCTTGGCGTCCCTGGGAAGGAGGGAAGTGGGTCACTCTGCTGCTTCTACTGTCCCCCACTTTGACAGCCACATCTATGGGGACCAGCCACGTCCACAGCCCAAGCAGGAGGGCCCAGGGGAGTGGCCCCAAGTCTCTACACACACATGCCCGTGTTCAGGGGACCAGGTAGGGCAGGGGTGACCAGGTCAGTGTCCCGGCACACAGCCCTGGCCTGTGACCCAGTCAGCAAATGGGAAGCCCAGACTGACTGCCATGAAAAAGACTCAGGATGCTGGACACAGGGCCTGGATCTTGGGCCAGGAGCAGAGGGCTCCACTTCAGCGGGAACAATGCAGAGGTAAAGATACTGGGAAGGAAGAATGGATTTTTTTTTTTTGTACTGGGAATCGAACTCAGGACCTTGTGCTTGTCAGGCAAGTGCTTAGCCACTGAGCTATATCCCCAGCCCCTGGAAAGGAGGAAGATGAGGCTAGCAGCAGAGGCAGACCCAGTAACCCCAAAGATATCCCACATGGTCTGCACGCAGGCAGCAAGGACATTGACCAAAAGCAGCAGGAGCAGGGCTATGACCACACGCCAGGGCCGGCTGAAGGCCTCACTCAGGAAGAGCGGCTGCTGCAGGGCCCAGCGGCTAGGGAACGGCATGACGGGCACAGCGTCAGTGCAAGCAGCGCCGCCAGGCGCGCAGAGGAGGAGCGGGTGCTCCTCTCCTCCTTCACGCTGCTGTAGAAGGAGATCCAGAGATCGCTGTGAGCCCCTACACGCAGAGCGTGGCCCGATGGACACCCGGCCACAGCCTGCATCCCGTGCTGGAGAGGCCGGCTCAACTCTACGCAGTTGGGCAGCACCTCAGGGAGGCAGACAAAGGCAATGGCCAGCATGGGCTGCTGCGGGTCAGCTGTGAGTCACCTGTGAACATCCGGGCCTCACAGGTGACGCTGAGCCCCAAGCTGGGGACGCCCGTAGACAGTCTCCATAGCTGTCTCACTGCAGTTTAGACCACAGCAAATCTGGACCTTCTCATACATGAGGGAAACGAGGAAAAAGAGCATGCGGGTCGGGGAGAGGCTGCTGGTATACCCCACGTAGCCCAGGCGTCTCAGGCGAGCCAGGCGCAGGGTGATTATCACGCTGACGAGTGCGATCAGCTGGTTTCCTTTCCAGAGCCAGCCCCCTCGGGTTATCGGCTCAGGGAGGCGCCGATAACCAGGGGAGTTCGGATTGGACGATGAACAGGTAACTGGACGCAGCCCCAACGCCGTGCAGACGGATGACGGTGGCCACCGCTACCTTCCCCGCCCGCCCGAATGCCCTCTGTCCCAGCTACTCATGGGCTTGGAGGTGGGCGGAGTAGGAAGATGGCAGTTCAAGTTACATCAGAAGGGCCGGGAAGAGGGCGCCTGTGTGGGCCACAGCATAGCCAGCCCCGGGGTGCCCCCGCCCATGATGGTATTGCTGAGGCTGAACACCGGCATTCCCAATGCTGTCCTCCCCTCGGAAGCCACGAACTGGACTGGCTTCCTCCCGGGAGCTGGACCATGGCTGGGCAGGAAGCCTTCAAGTTCTTGCCTGTAGCCCTCAGCACTCACAGGAAAGGCTCCTCCGTTCGTTTTTGGATATTGCATGTCCAACCTCCTTGCTGCTGTCAGTCCCAGAAGAGGTAGCAACCCAGTTTGGGGTCAAGGACCCCAATGCCTGTTCAGCTCCTGCTCTAGAGGAGCTCAGCTCCTCCCTTACTTACTTTTTTGACACAGGGTCTTTTTAAGTCACTGAGTTGCCTAGGCTTGGTTTGAACTTGCCATCCTCCTGCCTCAGCCTCCCAGAGTTCTTTTTTTCAGAGAAGTTTTCATTCAGCTCACAAAAATATTGAGCAGAAAGTACAGGAGATGGCGGGGGATATAGGTCAGCAGCACAAGCGCCTGCCTCGCAAGTGCAAGGTCCTGAGTTCTATTCCTGGTACCAAAAAAAAAAATAAAACCTCAATAATCTTAGTACTTTCCAGCCTGAGCTACAAAGTGAGCTCAAGGCCAACCTGAACTGCATAGCGAGACCCTATCTCAAAAAGACAAAAAAAAAAAAAAAAAAAAAAGAAAGAAAGAAAAAAAGTACAGGAGACACCTCCCTCCCTCCAGCCACCCCCATCAACGCTCCCCAAAGCTGATAGATTTGTGGCAGTGGATGAAGCCACAAGAACACAGGGTCACCAACCCAGGGCCTGAGTACTTCTTTGGCTACTTTCTTTTCTTTTCATTCCTTTTTTTTTTTTTTTTTTTAAAGTAGAAAATTTATTGAGGAAAAGGAATAGGGAATAGGAATAGCTCCTGGGAGACAGGAGGGGTCCCGGAGGGGTTGCCACCCTGGCTATTTTTGCTAAGTGTAAAATTGTTTCAAAATGAAAAACAATCTTTAAAGTTATTTTTGAGATGTGCTCAGCATTTCTCAAGAGGAGTCTGGCTTGTGAGAGACTCACAAGCCTAGAGCAGAAATAAGACGGAAGACCACGCGCTCCTGGACTCGTTCACTACGCGTCCCTTGACGTCAAAGACTTTGTTGGGACCCGACTGGGCTCTGGAGGTTAAGAAACTATGCTGACCCTTTGGCATGATAATGGCGTGGTGGTTATGTTAAAAAATCGTCCTCAAGAAACGCACCCC